ACCTCTTGCGGGACTTTTGTCGTGGGGAGGGCATCCTCCACTCGTTCACGCTTCCGGCCTCCCCGCAGCAAAATGGGATTGCTGTGTGCCGCATTGGCTTAGTCATGGAGGTCGCTCGTACCTCCATGATCCATGCGATTGGTCCCCATTTTCTGTGGCCGTTTGCGGTCCGGTACGCTGTGCATCAGCTCAACCTCTGGCCCCGTGTCTCCTTCCCGGAGACCTCGCCTACACTGCGTTGGACAGGGAAGGTTGGCGATGCGTCGGTGTTCCGGGTCCGGGGCTCTCGTGTCTCTGTTCGCGATACGTCCGCGGACAAGCTCTCCTTCCGCGCTATTCCCTGCGTCTTCCTTGGCTTTCCCCCTGACGCGCATGGCTGGTTGTTTTACCACCCCACCTCGCGCCGTGTCCTGCCCTCTCAGGACGTCACGTTTGACGAGTGGGTTCCCTTTTACCGTCTCTTCCCCTACCGCTCTGCCCCTCTCCCACCCCCGCCGCTCTTCCTTGCTCCAGGTCCCCCTCCGGTAGACCCCCTCCCCCCTTAGGGTCCTGCTCCCTCAGGTGTGTCTCACGTAAACCCACTCCCCCCTTAGGGTCCTGCTCCCTCAGGTGTGTCTCACGTAGACCCACTCCCCGGGACTGTGCCTATCGAGGTCGCTGTAGACTCAGGTGCTGCTAGAGTTGTTGCGTCTGGGGGTGCTGCGTCTGGGGGTGCTGAGCCTGCAAGTGCGGAGCCCGCGTGTGCGGAGCCTGGGGGTGCTGAGTCTGAGGGTGCGGGGTCTGGGGGTGCTGAGCCTGGGGGTGTGGAGCCTGGGGGTACTAAGCCTGAGTGTGCGGAGCCTGGGGGTGCTGAGTCTGAGGGTGCGGAGTCTGGGGGTGCTGAGCCTAGGGGTACTGCGTCTGCTGGAGGTCCTGCGGGTGCCTCGCCACGACTGTCTCCCCGGCGGGAGCCTCTCTCCGCGCAGCTGCTGCGCGAGTGGTTTGCTCGGTGCACTCGCCTTCGGAGTGGAGCTGCCGGAGCTGGAGGCTCTACCGCTGGAGGCACTGGAGCTGGAGGAGATGGAGCTACTAGTCTTGGAGTTGCTGGAGTTCCTGCTTGAGCTGGGGGTACAGGAGGTGCTGGTGCTGCTGGTCCTGGAGTTGCGCGTACTAGAGGTACTAGAACTGCCGGGGCTAGAGGTGTTGGAGGCGCTGGAGCTGGAGGAGCAGGAGCTGGAGACCCTGGCGCTAGAGGCGCTGGAGCTGGAGCTGGAGACCCTGGCGCTGGAGGCGCTGGAGCTGGAGGCACTGGATCTGGAGGCCCTGGCGCTGGCGGCACTGGAGCTTTTGAACCTAGAGCTGGGGGTGCTGGCGTCGGGGGTGTTGCGTCTGGCGAAACTGGTGCTGGAGGCATTGTGCAGCGGCGACCGTTTTTCGTTCCGCCACCACCGTCGTCTCTGCCGCCACCTGATTCGGTCCTTCGCCAGGTTCTTAGTCTCCCGTCTTCTACTGGCCTTCCTCCTAGCTTACTGAGTCCCCCCCCTTGCCAGTCGCAGCCATAGTTACAACCAGACTCCCCACTGCCTGCTCCTTCTCCTTACGCTGAGCAAACAGACTCTTTTACAGAGCGTCGTGAGCCTGAGTCTCGTTTTGCCTCGCCTATTTGCATTGTGCGCACTGGTCGTCGTGTTCCTCGTCCGCGTCCTCCTCCTATCCCCAGCACGCACGTTATGGCCCTTCGTCCTTCCTCTGTTCCACTGTTTGTTCCCCTGCCGCCTCCTCCTGCGTCCTCTCTTCCTGCCGTTCCTGACCCTGAGTCTGACCTAGCTCGTGTTGCCAGTCCCACTGTCCCTCGCCTTCTCGCTAATGTTGTCACTGACCCTTCTTTCGAGTCCACTGCTGCGTCTGCCCTGGTTTCTGGGCTTGTTGACTTTGCTGCAGCTTGTCGTCTCGACTACGATACTGCTCTTATTGCTGAGTCTGAGTCTGCCTGTCCTCCGTCCATCGGGGGTGAGTGTGCTCTTGGCACGGACGTCCTTGAGGACAGGTAGGAGGACTTTGAGTGTCTTGCAGCTGCTGTACCTCCTCTCGTGGCCATGCTGCTTGCCCCTGAGGGAGACCCGGATGCACCAGACATCCCGAACTCGCGCTCTTACGCAGAGGCGATTATGGGTCCCTACTCCTCTAAGTGGCAGACAGCCGTGGGCACAGAGATGGCATCCTGGAAGTCCACAGGCACCTACAACGACGCAGTTCCCCCTTCTGGGGCGAACATATTCGATGGCATGTGGATGTTCAGGGTGAAGCGGCCGCCGGGTTCTCCGCCTGCCTTCAAGGCGCGTTACGTTGCTTGAGCCTTAGGTTGCAATAGAGGGTTGACTACTTTCAGACCTTCTCCCCCACCCTGAAGATGACTACTCTTCGGGTGTTGCTGCACGTCGCAACTTAGCGTGACTACGAGCTGCACTCTCTTGACTTCAGCACAGCTTTCCTGCAGGGCAGCCTGCACGAGGAGATCTGGCTGCGCCGCCCACCTGGCTTCACTAGGTCGTTTCCTGCAGGTACCCAGTGGAGCCTCCGGCGGCCAGTCTACGGTCTCCGTCAGGCGCCTCGCGAGTGGCACGACATACTGAGGACGGCACTTGCGGCTCTTGGGTTTGCTCCTTCGACTGCTGACACGTCGTTGTTTCTACGTACGGAAACTTCGCTGCTGCCGTTCTACGTCCTCGTGTACGTCGACGACTTGGTCTTTACCACTGCTGACACTGAGGCACTGGCCCTTGTGAAGTCGTAGCTGCAGAAGAGACACACCTGCACTGACCTGGGTGAACTGCGCAGCTATCTATGCAGTGGTCGCCACAGGGTTACACCTTTAGCCTTGGTTCCAGCTCTGTTTCTTGACGGTCTACCCGCTCGTCTTCTGTTCTCAGTTCCAGTTGTGAGGCTGAGATCTGCTGACACAGAAGTTACGCTGGCTCACCTACCTGCTGACCGACTTGGGAGAGCGGCCTCCCAACAAGGCCATGATTGCCTTGTGTCAGGAGCACAGACTGGAGCACCGAACGAAGCACATTGCTCTGCGTTACTTCCTTGCTCGAGAGCTGCAGCAGCGTGGTCAGCTTCGTCTTACTTACGTGGCCACTAGGGCCAACAGTGCTGCTATATTCACCAAGGCACTTCAGTCTGGTGATCATCAGCGTTTCTGTACTGTCTTAGGCCTTGTGCCTACTTTGCCTCACTTGCTCACTTCGTGACTTTGCTTGTACTGTGATCTATATATATACCTACGTGCTTACACTTGCTAAGGTATGCTCACTGTACTGTTTGTTCTCTTTTATATATCTCTGCATGTGAACTGGCCTTTTGGCCATTTGCTTGTGCTCGTAATGTGTGGTGACTTTGTGATCCACCCTGAGCTTGCTTTGCTTTTCTTGACTGGTCTTGTGACCACTTGTTCTCCCCCACTTTGCCTAGGGGGGTGTGTCAAAATGTTATAGTGCTTACTTTGTGTAGACTATAGTGGGGTAGTCCATAAAGGGTACAACCCAATTAGGGTTAGTACTTGTACCCAACTCTTCCATAGTTCATTGATTTTCGTTCTAGATTCTGACAAGATCATACGTTCAAACCCGTAACGTAACAGCTGCGAGCGCAATTGTGGTTGCTGCAATGAAACTTCTTAGCGAAATATCGAGGTAACGAGTCAACAGATTGGTTAGTTTCCTTCATGTCAGCTGTGCTGACAGCAGAATCAGAATCACCAGCACCTGAACGCTGCTCTCATTCCAAGTCCGACATGCATGTGCAGTGCAGGCAAGGCACACAGAGTGGTCATCAGCTGTACTGGTGGTCATGTATGATCAGCACACCTCACAGAGATGTTGGTAGCATCAACCATGCTCCTTGTTGATCAGAGTCGACTAAATACACAACGCAAACTGTACAGAAGTGAGGAAGCCAAGCCAATCCAAAGTACGCTGGATCAAATCATAATGAACGGAAAGGAGCAGCACATCCCCACATCTGCCATGTTGCCGGACGTGGTGCTTATACCGTTAGATTTGATTTCTGTTTCGTCATGAGGCGCCTCATTACACTAGTAGCCCTCCTTTGCCTCGGTATAAGATACCTCGAGGCACTAGTAGCTCTCCTCTGCTTCGATCTCTGGCCCGCGAGAGAGTGAAGTTGAGGGCATTGAGCGTGAGCTGTGGTGGGCAAGGGAGAGGAGGGATGGAGTGGGAGATGGTGAAAGAAGGACGAGAGAGAGTGTAGGGAGGGCATGGATTGATTGAGAAGCGTTTGGAATTGAGAAAGCGGGGGGATGGGGACGGGTAAAAAAAAAACTGAGAGTTCAGAGAGTTCTTGTAAGTAATAGCCCAGGGTGGTGACAATGCACTGGGAGCTGGGATGAGATGGAAGGAGGGGGGTGGGGACGAGGGAGGGGAAGGGAAAGCATAAAAGAGGGACTGATGAGATGGGGAGAGAGGTGGTGTGGGGTTGAGAGCACTAGGGGCCAGCCAGGAGAACGGGGAAAGAGAGACGGGTCGAGAGCACTGAGCGAGGTGTGATGGGGAGGAGGTATGAGCGATAAGAGGAAGGAGAGCACGTGTGTCAGAGAACGAACATTGTCTGACCCCAAGTCGAACCCACAGCTTCACAGGAATAGGAAAACTTTGCCAGTGGACACAAGCATTTCACCGTGATAGTTTCATCTCACTGTGATCGTTTCATCTCACCCTGATTGTTTCATCTCACAGTGCTCGTTTCATCTCACCGTGCTCGTTTCATCTCACGGTGCTCGTTTCATCTCACCGTGCTTGTTTCATCTCACCGTGCTCGTTTCATCTCACCGTGCTCGTTTCATCTCACCGTGCTCGTTTCATCTCACCGTGCTCGTTTCATCTCACCGTGCTCGTTTCATCTCACCGTTCTCGTTTCATCTCACCGTGCTCGTTTCATCTCACCGTGCTCGTTTCATCTCACTGTGCTCGTTTCATCTCACCATGGTCGTTTCATCTCACCGTGATCATCTCAACATCCAGCGGCCCCCCATGGTACGACACCGTGAACACATCCTTCGCCACCACGCCCTGCATGCACACAGATGGGAGATGGACGATGGGAGGTGGGTAGGGGGACATGGTGATTAGTGCATGTGATGTGAAGAATGGTACAAGTCCGTAATCACATCCTATGCCACCAACCAACCCCTGCACACACATATATGGGCAATGGGTCACACGTGGTGAGAGATGGGAGACGGCGATCGTTGTGTGAAACATGCAGCATGGTATGACATGAAATCACATCCTTCGCCATTACTCTTTGCATGCACATCGATGGACGATGGACAATGGGCCATGAGACATGGGAGGTGCTGATTGCTGTGCGAGATGTGAAGCATGGAATGACATGTAAGCACATCCTTCGCCACCACCCCCTGCACGCACATGGACTATGGTCGAAGGGAGATGGGAGATGGTGATTAAGCATGGTACAAGCTAGTGAGCACACTCTGCATTCACAGAGCACACAGCCTTCGCCAGCACACACTGCAGCACGATGGGCGAGTATGCACAACACGCCCTCCTCATGAGCCCCCCCTCACCACGCCCCCATCATCTCAGAACCCATCTACACTGACGTCACACACACCCACCTCAGTGTCGATCTCTGCTGACGTCACACCCACCTCAGTGTCGATCTCTGCTGACGTCACACTAACGAACATCCCCGTCAGCACATCAACAATCACCATCAGCAGCCCCGGCCGGTCCGCCACCCGCACGCTCGGCTCGCTGCCCGTGCTGCCTGGGAGGGGCGTGTTGAAATGCCGGGCCGTGGGGAGTGGGAGCACCCATGAAGGGAGAGGGTGCAATCATGCTAGCATCAATCGCCGGTCTGCCGCCTCCACCCTCAGCTCGTTGCCGCTGCTGTCCGGGAGGGGCATGAGCGCCATGCGCGTTGTAATACAATACCAGGCTGTGGTGAATGGGATGGGATGGAGATTGAGGAGAAGACAGACGCGAGAGCATTGAGGAGCTTGACAAAGGAGCATGGCGCATCATACACACAAGTACACCATGACCCCCCAGTGGTGCACACACCAGCCACCACCCAGCACCCACCACCCAGACCAAGCACCCACCACCCAGACCAAGCACCCACCACCCAGACCAAGCACCCACCACCCAGACCAAGCACCCACCACCCAGACCAAGCACCCACCACCCAGACCAAGCACCCACCACCACCCAGACCAAGCACCCACCACCCAGACCAAGCACCCACCACCCAGACCAAGCACCCACCACCCAGACCAAGCACCCACCACCCAGCACCCACCACCCAGCACCCACCACCCAGCACCAAGCACCCAGCACCCAGCACCAAGCACCTATCCCTGCCACTCTCCCCTCACTCACCTTGCAGAGTGGCGAGTCGCATGTGAGGCCCATGGCCAGCTGCATACCTGACTCCTCCCATCATTGGCTACCCTCCCACCGTTCCCCAACCTCCCGCCACTCCCCATCCACCGCCCTCCCCAGTTCCCCCCCACGTCCTCCCCTCACTCACAGTGCAGGGCGGCGAGTCGCATGTGAGGCCCATGGCTAGCTGTGTGCCTGAGTCCTGGGAGGGGAAAGGGTAGCGGGAAGGGGGAAGGGAAAGGGACGGGGAGAGGGGTGCTGATTGGTGGGCTTCGGTGCAAGGAAGCGAGTCGCATGTGAAGCGCATGTGAGGCGCATGTGAAGCGCATGTGAGGCGCATGTGAGGCGCATGTGAGGCGCATGTGAGGCGCATGTGAGGCGCATGTGAGGCGCATGTGAGGCGCATGTGAGGCGCATGTGAGGCGCATGTGAGGCGCATGTGAAGCGCATGAAAGGGAAGCGGGCAACGGGAAGGGAGAAGAGGGAGGAGGAAAGGGAAAGGGGAAGGGGGAGGAGGAATGGTGAGTGGAAAGGGCAGGGGAAAAAGGGGAGGGGGAAAAGGGGATGAAAGTGATTGCTTGTTGCTTGTTGCTTGATGATTGCGTGGTTGGCAGGGAGGCATACAATTCAACCGGTTTTATTCGAGTGACAGCGTGGGTAGGAACACAATATCCAAGGAGCAGCAGCAGCAGCAGCAGCAGCAGCAGGCAATCCAATCCACCCACCGGTGGCATGCAAACTACATACTGGTTGTAGGCAAGTACTAAACAGTGCACTCACAGGGTGGTGAGCGCGCAGAGCTGGGTGACGTCGGTGCCTTTAAGGAGAGCATGTCCTACATTTCACAAGGATTTTTTATCGTCACTAACTTCTCGATAACTTGGTGCGTGACGACTCGCGGATGCGATGCATTTCACAGGGCTATTTAGAGCGTGGAAGCTTTGAAACCCGGTGCGCCGCGCCCTGCCAAGACGTTCTACACAACAAGCGTTCTGCACCCGGTGCGCCGTGCCCTGGAATTGTTTCCGACCTGATTTCCTGGACTGCTTTCTATCATCATTTTCACGCACACAAACCACTGTTGGGATTCAGAATAAAACGTGTGTAATGAACCATAAAACATCCTTTCTCAGATGCGCCAATATTGATTATTTGCCTTCCCCACGTGTGTAACTCCGCCACGGTTCCACCACAACCCTACCTCTGCAGCCTCGTCACAGCGCGGAGCCCCCAGGTTTGGTGCTTCTGTTGATGTCTCGTTGGCCGGTTACCCCAACATGCGCCTCTGCCCCGTTGTGCTTTTGCAAAACCCGCTGCTTTCAGTGGCGCGCTGAACTTTCGAGGTCCCATTCCCAATGTTGGGATTCAGCAGTGCAGCTCAAGCTCCAAAGAAATCAAACCTCAAGCACAAGAGCCGGAATCTGTAACGCAAGACAAATTGCACCCGTCTTTGCGCAGAACGGGACACGGCCAGTTGAGTCCGAAGTTACTCCTCCCAGGGCGGCGCAGATTCCCATCTCACAGACAACGCGCTTCCACTTTTCGCCGTTTTCCCGCCAATCCATCAACCCCGTAGCCCCTCCTCGAGCACTGTTCAAACGGTCACGGAACAGGCTCGTTCGCTTCGCTTCGCACGCACCACAGCACAGCAAAGATTGGAGCAGTCACAATCGTCCAAGCGTTTCATTTTCAAGTCCAAGTCAGCGCAGATCTATGCACTTGCGGGTAGGTGAACTCCATAAACCCTGCTTCCAGGGTCCAACACGGCACCGCTCCTCCAACGCAGTGAAGCCTGCTCGAGTAGGTTGGGGCCTAAAACCGGCCCCTTTCCAACGCGCCATTGTCTGTGGCTGTGGGCAGGTGGAACAGACCGCGCGGGAAGCTAGTCGCAACATTGCGAGGAAGTTACGCTGGGTTGAGTGTGCTCGTGTTGCTCGTCGTGGCGTTTGCTGGTCAGGCCTTCATAGTCTTTCGGGAAGTAGAGGATGGCTTATTTGTATCAGCCGACAGCCAGTGTTCAGGTAGTAGTGAGTAGGTACCAGTTTAGTTCTAGTCTAGCCGCCAGCACGCAAGTCACCGTTTCTTGTCCCGATCAGCCTGTTTATAGTAGCAGCCGGTCGAGTCGCGATCACATCCCGTGCTCACTCAATAACTGTCACTCCGTGCGGAACAAAAGCCTTGGAGGTATCAGCAACACTTTTGCGCGAATTCCCACGTTCGCCATGGCTCCTGGTATCAATATTGCCACTTGCGCTCCGAGAGTACGAGCAGAGTGCCTAGATCGGAACGTACGGTCCAGATCTCACGGCCTGCCTAGCATCTCCCAGCCGGTTCCTGCCAAATCCAGCCAATCGTTATCCCTGAAGAACGCCGCCGCTCGGGCACAGTCTCCCATTCCCGCTCTTTCCTCGCGACGCCTAGATCAGGACCAATCAGACGCCACTACGTTGTCTTCCGTCCGAGCTGCGTCGGCGCTGCAATCACTCGACGCGCCGCTCGCCGAGACGCCAGATGCGCTGCCGCCAGAAGTGCCGTACACTGTAGTTATGAAGTTCGGCGGCTCGTCGGTGGCGAACGCGGCGCGCATGAAGGAGGTGGCGGATTTGATCCAGTCCTTTCCTGAGGAGAATCCGATCATCGTCATGTCCGCCATGGGGAAAACGACGAACAACCTGATCAAGGTGCGCCATGCTCTGCTGACCGTAGTTTGACCAATACCGCGAATGCTGCCCGCTTCATGCGATTTCAGAATCTGAAAACGTGCTACGTGGACGTCTAGTCGGACTTCTGAGAGCCGGTTTCTGGCATAGGGAGAGTGACGGCCGTCTAAAGGAGTGGCCTTCGCAGCCGGTCTTTGTATTGTTGCCCCTGTGCCCGATTTAGGAGAATTTGACGTTTGCAGGCCAGTCACTTCGCCGATCATCGTTCCTCCAAGGACTGACATAACAACGAACGTACCTTTCTTTTTCGGCTCGTCATACCTTGTTTCTTCTCCGCCGAGTCTTACCGACAGCGACGGCGAATTCACAACTCTCGCTATCTACATTGCATCCCCGTTACTGGCAGGTCGGCGAGAGGGCGCTGACGTGCGGGTCCGCCAAGTGCGCGGCGATCGACGAGCTGCGAGTAATCAGAGAGCTCCACGTGTCCACCATGGAGGAGCTCGGCGTGGAATGCGCTGAGGTGCACGGTGAGTAGTGTGGGTGAGTTATGCAGGTGATTTTCAAAAGTAAGTGAGGGGTATCATGGGTGCGTGCAAGCTAGCCCCTGAATTCATTGGCGAGAGCTGCTCAGTCGCCGTTGCGGGTTAAACCCTGTAAAACCCCTCGGACTGTTCGCGTAAACCCCTGACCGTTCTTTTAAACCCTTCCGCTGCAATCTGTGCAGTGCGCAATCTGCTTTTTACATCCTCTTGCGCTGCTCAAGTCAACCGTCCACTCAACTCCACTCATCTGCACTTGATTTCCAATTCTAATATGGTTTCTCACTCACCTCTTCCCCTTGCTTCAATCCTCTCCCTGCCCCCTCTGACCAGAACTGATGCACGAGCTGCAGCAGCTAGTAACGGGGATAGCGCTGATGCGCGAGCTGACTCCGCGGTCCTCGGATTACCTCGTGTCGTTCGGCGAGCGCTGCTCCACGCGCATCTTCGCCGCCTACCTAAACTCTCTGGGAGTGCCGTCCAAGCAGGTACGACGCGGACCAAGCCCTCCGTCCGTCCGTCTGTCCCTCCCTCCCTCCCTCCCTCCCTCCCTCCCTCCCTCTCTCCCTCTCTCCCTGGCTCCCTTTCTCCCTCCCTCCCTCTCTCCCTGGCTCCTCCACGCCATCTTTCCTTCCCATCCGCCCTCGGTTCATAAGGCGTCATCCTCACCGACACATTAACCACTCACTAGACGTCATCATTGGCCCACCCACCCAGCTCCCCTCCCTCTCTTCCTCCCTCTCTCCCTCTCCCTCGGCCATTTTTGCCTCCCCATGTGCCTTTCCTTTCTCAGTCCCTCTTCCCCCTCCACACCCACCTCCGTTCCTTACACTCCCCCCTTTTCCTTTTCAGTTCGACGCGTTCCAGATGGGAGTGATAACCACGGACGAGTTCACCAACGCGGACGTGCTGGACGAGACCTCTATTGCTGCTGCGTCACTCCCAATGTGCCCTCTCGTACACCCTTCCCCCTCTCCTTCCTCCCGCTTCCCCGCCTCCCCCCCCGCCCGCCCTGTCAGTTCGACGCGTTCCAGATGGGAGTGATTACATTACAACGGACGAGTTCTCCAACGCGGACGTGCTGGACGAGGCCTGGCCCACTGCTGTCTCTCGCCCCATGTGTCCTCCCGTACTACCTTCAAACACACCACCACCCCTTGCCACCCCCTTCCGCACTCCAGTTCGACGCGTTCCAAATGGGAGTGATAACGACGGACGAGTTCACCAACGCGGACGTGCTGGACGAGACCTACCCCGCCTGTGCTGTGAAATCCACCCTCCCTCCCCTCCCCTCATCCCCCCCCCACAACCCCCCATCCCTGCACCCCATTCCCCAGTTCGACGCGTTCCAGATGGGAGTGATCACAACGGACGAGTTCACCAACGCGGACGTGCTGGACGAGGCCCTTGATTATGCCCCCTAACGCCCCCTGCGCGCTCCCATACTCCCCCCATTCACCAGTTCGACGCATTCCACATGGGAGTGATCACGACGGACGAGTTCACCAACGCGGACGTGCTGGACGAGACCTACCCCACCGTGGCCAACTCCCTCCTCTCCGCCTACCATGCTCACCGGGAAAGCGCTGCTGCCAGTGGAGATGACAGCAGCAGCAGGGCGTTCATCCCGGTGGTCACAGGCTTTCTGGGCAGGGTGAGTGGAGTAGGGAGAGGGAGAGTAAAGGGGGGGGGGGGGGGGGGGGGGGGTGCAGGGCAAATTTCTGACAGTTGTTTGGGGGCGTGCGCTTGCAAGCACTGGGTGTTTGGTAAACCGTCTATAACGACTTAATCGATCTTGCATGCTTGCTAACCCTGATGGATAAGTGGCGCCTCTGCATAAACGCCTCTCTTCTAGCTTGCACTGCACTGTGGTTGGCGTCCATGTCATCAGCATCACTGTCAACAACATGTCGCACCTCCTCTCACCCATCTCCCCTCCCCCCCCTCTCTCCTCCCCCATCGCCCCTCGCCCCTCGCCCCTCGCCCCTCCCTCAGGGCAAGAAGACGGGTGCGACGACCACGCTGGGCCGTGGAGGCAGCGACCTGACGGCGACCATCATAGGGCGAGCGCTGGGGCTGCGGGAGGTGCAAGTGTGGAAGGACGTGGATGGCGTGCTCACCTGCGACCCCAACCTCCACCGCTCCGCTGTGGCTGTGCCCTTCCTCACCTTCGAGGAAGCTTCCGAGCTGGCGTACTTTGGAGCGCAGGTGCTGCATCCGCAGAGCATGCGGCCGGCGCGGGAGGGGAATATTCCAGTCAGGGTGAAGAACTCGTATAATCGCAGCGCTCCCGGGACGTTGATTACCCAAGAGAGGGATTTATCGTCGGCGCTGCTGACCAGCATTGTGGTGAAGCGTGGGGTCACGCTGCTGGATCTGGTCAGCCTGAGGATGCTCGGGCAGTTTGGGTTCCTCGCAAAAGTTTTCGCGATTTTTGAGGCGCAGGGGATTTCGGTCGATGTGGTGGCGACGAGTGAGGTGAGCCTGTCGCTCACACTGGACCCCGCGAAGCTGTGGTCTCGGGAGTTGATTCAGCAGGAGCTGGATAAGATGGTGGAGGAGCTTGAGCAGGTGGCGGTGGTCAAGTTATTGCAGCGGCGGTCGATTATCAGCTTGATTGGGAACGTGTCCCGGTCGTCAGTGATTCTGGAGAAGGTGTTTGGCGTGTTCAGACGAAACGGGACCAACGTGCAGATGATCTCGCAGGGAGCTTCCAAGGTGAGCTTCGGGAGGGGTTTCTGGAGTGTGAGGTTTCAGCAGAATTCTGAACAAGTTTTTTTCACCAGGTCATTTTCTGAGATGTGGCTGGCTGTTCCATTTGTTTGTCTGCAGGTGAACATTGCATTGGTAGTGGATGATGATGAAGCTACAGAGTTGGTGCAGCTGCTGCACAAGGAGTTTTTTGGCGTTTAGAACTGTTGCAGTAGCGCAGCACAAGCTGTGCAGGTAGAGGGGGTCGTAATGAAGTTATGGGCATTGTATCGTATGGGATGTTTGTTCAATAAGTATTTCTTTAGGACCAGTTGTAGGATTCATTTCAGCCTTCGTATAAGCGTTAGAGAGGTTCTGTGTAATATAATGGAAGGATTTTATCGAGTTTCAGGCGTGAAGTAGTGCCACGTAAGAGATTTGCCTTGGAACCCAGGTCAGCATGTTCTCACCAGAAAGTGCCGCCATGTGGCGTAGCTGACAATGCCAGCGTGGAGGAATCTCCAAAGCATCTGGACGCTCCCGCCATTGGTCAATGTGCTGAACTCACCGCCGAGTTCCTTCATTACAGTCACCTGCTCTTCCTGATTCTTCATTTGCGGCACAAATCAAGCACCAAGCACAAGGAGCTGTCCGTCCACCTCGAGATCCCCAAAAATGCTGCAGCGCAGGTCGGTGCAGCAGCAGCAGTGGTGGGAACAGCAGAGAGGGGAGAGATTCCATTCCAATGTCTTGTTACCAACCTATCTTTCCCTCACATGCATTTCACAGCTACTAAATTGGTGCATTCAACCATAGCTTCAAAACGGTTGATGGTCATCTTGTCCCTGACCGTGCCGTCTTGTTCGCTCCGTACTTGACTGGGAGTTGCCACCCGCCGACGACAGTGCTCATCGCGTTTCGCGGTTAGCGTTGACAGGGAATTTGCGAACCTTAACGCATCACGTGTTGCCAGCAACACCGTCGCGCTGTTGACATCATTGTCCACGCACCTATTATCCGGAATGGCTGCCGTCTCCGCCGTCTCCGTGGTTTCTACCGTCTTCGCGGTTTCCGCCGGGTCCGAGATGGCAATAAATAGTTCTGTTGGGCGTGCCACCGCATGCAACGGTCCCATCTTTTCTTCGCCGGACACCGGTCGTCCGCTGCACAACAGCCATCGCGGGCAAAGAAGGTATGCAAGAGCAGCATCGTTTGTGCTTACGGTAGTTAATCTGTTCTCTTGCTCCTCTCGCACGCGTGTCATCTTTGTCAGACGAGCCTGAGCTCGTCCAACTGTGACCATCGACGTGACGGGATTCGTTTAGAATTTCGCTTGATGCGCGAATTTCGCGCATTTAAGGCGAATTCGAATGACCGCAACTTTCGTATAACTTGTAAAGCTTGCGTTCATTCTTCCCTCGAACAAGACATGCACGGTGACTCGAGTACAGTACGGCGGCGTTCATTCATTCTTCCCTCTCTCACTCATCTTCCTTCCCGCTTGTCATCTTTGTTGGCGGTGGTATACGTTTCCGGGGGTGTAGGCGAAAAAATCTTCTGAATCCGAAGAGCATTTGTTACTTCAATCTAGACTTCCAGGTACCCTCCTCGAAATTCGTGCCCGTGCCCTTTATACTCCAAACACCGCGTTAACATCATTCCGCTCACTTCCGGTTGTTTTTCCTCTCCCCAACCCCCACCAGCAGCCCCGTCCCCCTTGCTGCACGCGCAGCCCCTTCCGCCCTCTCCGCCGTTGCGCCTGCTAGTCCACGATCTCTGCGGAAGGTGAGAAGCATGGCATGTCATGGCATGCCGTGGCGTGCAATGGGGGGGCATGAATTCCATGGCATGACTTGAATTTCAGAGGCATGGTGGCATGGCATGACGTAACGGCATGGCACGGTATAGCAGCAGCAGCAGCAGCAGCAGAGGGAGTGCGTGTGTGGTGGAACTTCCCTTCTCTCTTCCCCCATCTCGAACCCTCCGCTCTTCTATTTCCAGACCAAGCACACTTCAACAGCAGCAGCAGGACAAGCAGCAGCAGCGGAGGGGCAAGCAGCAGGTTCCAGTGGCAGCACAGAGGCGAGGGAGGAGAGGGTGAGGAGGTGCCGGTGCTGGCAGTGGTGACTGGCAACCAGCTTGTGAGGCCGCAACGGAAATGGAACTCCCATTTATCCTGTCAGAGGGGGATGTGACCACGCTGGAAGGGCTTCCAATATAGCAAGGAATAACCAAACTTTCGTTCTTTCTCCGCACCTGCCATTGCTCTGCCTTCTCCCACCTTCTCCCCCCACCATGCCAGCCACGCCCGAATGGTAGCAACAGCAGCATCCACAGTGGAGACGGAGAGGGAACGGGTGTCTGTGCCAGTGGTGGTGATAGACAACCACTAGGAGGCGAAATTTGAGTCGACTCAAGAGGGGCTTCCAATATCTTAAAGATAATCGGAACTTCCATTCTTTCTACCTATCCCCCCCGTTGTTCTGCCTTTTCCCCCTTTTGACCCTCCACAGGCCACCCGCATACTAGTGTCAGGAGCAGCAACCACAGCGCAGGCGGAGACAGAAGAGGTGCCAGTGCCGGTGGTGGTGATAGACAACCACTTGGAGGCGAAGTTAAAAGGAATGCCCGTCTTTCCTCCCTATCCGGCCCATCGCTCTGCCTTCTCCCACGCTCCTCCCACCACCAGGCCAGCCGCGCACCAGTGGTGGCAGCAGCAGCAAGCACAGCGCAGACAGAGGAGGTGCCCGTGCCGGTGGTGGTGATAGACAACCACTCGGAGGCCAATGCCACCATTGTGCAGCTAGAGTTTGGTGACCGGCTGGGGGCGCTTATGGACACGGTGAGCGCTGTTGTTGGGGAGTGAGGAATGCGGTGTGGTGTGGTGGGGTTGTCAGAGGTCCACTGGTGATCCCCGATTGATCCTAGGGAAGGGTTACAGGCTCGTTGTCCTGGGGGGTTATGGGCGCACTGACCCGCTACTTAACAAGCCCTTTTATCCCAATGGTCTAGTGGTTGGGATTCTGACAGGGGTGTGGTGGCATGGGGTGTGGTGGAAAGGAAGGGGATGCCAGTGGTGGTAATAGACAACCACTCGGAGGCCAATGCGACCGTTGTGCAGCTAGAGTTTGGTGACAGGCTGGGCGCACTCATGGACATGGTGAGTGCAGGGGGGTGAGGGAAGAAGGGGGGAGTGTTTTCATGGTGGTTGGCTTATGGACTTGGTGGGTGCAGGGGGTTGAGTGATGCGATGTGGTTTGGGGTAATGTGGTGTAGAGTGGTGTGGTGTGATGTGATGCAATGTGATGTGATGTGGTGCGATGCGATGTGACGCGATATGATGTGATGTGGAGAGGTGAGAGGCGAGCTGTCAGAAAAGAGAACCTGTGGGGTGTCTGCAAAACGGGGACAGCCACGCTGGGTGCACTCTTGGTGGCGCGGTGGGTGCGAGAGAGACAGCTTGCAAGGGCCCTCCGCACTCAGGGCTTGAATCTGGTGGAGGGCCGGGTCACTTTCTAGTCAGATAACAAGTTACTTTGCTCTCTGTGGGTCACCTGCACACCTCGCCTCTCACCTCGCCTCTCACCTCGCCTCTCACCTCGCCTCTCACCTCGCCTCCCCACCTCGCCTCTCACACTGCTCCCAACCCCCTCCCTACCAGATGGCGGCGCTGCGCAGTCTGGGGCTGAACGTGGTGAAGGGACGCGTGACTCCCAAGTCCGCTCAGAGCTCACCTCACCTCTCTCTGCCTTGCCTCCCCACTCCCTCACCGCCCTACCAGATGGCGGCGCTGCGCAGTCTGGGGCTGAACGTGGTGAAGGGACGCGTGACTCCCAAGTCCGCTCAGAGCTCACCTCACCTCTCTCTGCCTTGCCTCCCCACTCCCTCACCGCCCTACCAGATGGCGGCACTGCGCAGTCTGGGGCTGAACGTGGTGAAGGGACGCGTGACTACAGCAGGCACCGTTGCTCGGAACACGTTCACCATCACGCAGGAGTGAGTGCCGTTTGGAGGGGAGGGAAGGGAGAGGGGGGTGGGCAAGGACGGAAGAGTGGGTGAGGAGGGGGTTGGGAGGAGGATGGCCAAAGAGGGGAGAGTGGCGGAAGGTCTGGGAAGGAAAGGACAAGGGGTGGTGGTGAATAGATGGGCGGGTGATGATAGCAAGCAGTGTTGCATGCAGTGTTGCATGCAGTGTTGCAAGCAGTGATGTCACCATCATCCAGGACTGTGAGGAGAGGCTTGGAAGGGGGAGGTGCACAGCAGATGTTGGCGCATTGAGTAACGCTCTTTTGAGATGTCTCAAATCCCTCCCTCTCTGCTCGATCCCTGCCCTGCGATTCTCCAAGAGGCCCTCCCTTGCCTCATCCTGCAAAAGAAAATCGGCGGCAAAAAGAGAGAATGCCAACATGAACATGTCATATGTCCCACTTATTGAACCATCCCCCATCCCCTACCCTGCCATGCCACCTCACGTACCCTCCATGGGCGTGTGACACGATTTGACTTCATATTCGAATAGAAAATCTCATCCTCTGCCCTGCCCTGCCCATCCCATCCCATCCCATCCCATCGCATCGCATCCCATCCTTTGCTCTGCCACCCCACACACCACCTCCACTCACAGGGGAGGCAAGGTGGAGAGTGCGGAGATGATAGAGGCCATTCGAGGCACCATCATCGCCAACCTCCTCAAGTACCACCCCGTGAGTGCTGCTCGCCACCCCGTGAGTGCTGCTCGGCACCCCGTGAGTGCTGCTCGCCACCCCCATGAGTGCTGCTCGCCACCCCGCGAGTGCTACTCGCCACCCCGCGAGTGCTGCTCGCCACCCCGCGAGTGCTGCTCGCCACCCCGTGAGTGCTGCTCGCCACCCCGTGAGTGCTGCTCTCTGCACTTGTGACGCAGTGTGTTGTTTGTATGCCAACCCGTGACTGCTACTCACCACCCTGTGAGTGCTCCTATGTGCATTGCATGCCACCCCGTGTTATATACTGTATTCCCTCATGCTCTACCCTGCTCCCTCCATCCCCTCCTCACTTGGGAATACGGCGCTCAGTTAGCCATGGGCCTCACATGCGATTCGCCTCCTTGCATCAACCCCACCATCCTGCACCCCTCTCCTCTCCTTCCCCTTCCCCCTTCCCCTTTCCCCCTTCCGCCTTCCCCCTTCCCCCTTCTCTCCCACACCTGCAGGAGTCAGGCACGCAGCTAGCCATGGGCCTCACATGCGACTCGCCTCCCTGCAATGTGAGAGAGGGGAAAGTGGCACTGGGGTGCGTGATGCGTGGGGCACTGATTGGGAGTTCGGGGAGAGGGTGGGGAACGTCAGGAGGTTGGGATTGCAGCGAGGGTCGAGAGGCTTGGGTGGAGCACTGGTGTGAGCCTGCCATACTTGTTTACTCACCCCACATGCATCATACAGGGGTACTCACCCCACATGCATCATACAGGTGTCAAATCTTTATTAGCGACTGCACCAGCGGCATCGTGTGGCTGTGTGAGCTCTCAGAGCAACACGTGCTTCTGGATGGAACCTCCAAGCACGTGCAATGCTGCACCACAGGTGCCTGCTCACTTACCTGACCCAGTTTTCTCCTCGGCAGGGACTGTTGCTCCCTTCTCCCTGTTCTCCTTCAGCCTTCACCCCGCTGTGCTTCCCCACGCTGTCACCCTGCTATCAGGCTTCTTAGGGCTTCTGAGTGCTCGCACATCGTCTCAGTTACTCCCGCTCACATCCCTCACAGGCGAGCGTGCCAACGCACACGCCACTCGTGCCCCTGACAGGGCAGCAAGCTGAGGGTGGAGGCAGCCAGCAGACCAGTGATTGATGCATGCATATTCTCCCCTCACGTGTGCTCCCATCCCTCACGGGCGAGCGTGCCAACGCGCATGACGCTCACGCCCCTCCCGGACAGCAGCGGGAGCGAGCTGAGGGTGGAGGTGGCAGACCGGCAATGAATACTTGCATTAACCCCCTTCACGTGTGCTCCCATCCCATCGCAACCCCCACAGTCGAGTGTGCCAACACGCATGGCGATCACGGCCCTCCCGGACAACACAGGCAGCGAGTTGAGGGTGGAGGCGGCGGACCGGCCGGGGCTGCTGATGGAAATCGTGGATGTGCTGACAGGGATGTCCGTCAGTGTGACGTCAGCAGAGATCGACACCGAGGTGGGTGTGATGTAGGTTTAGACAGGTGCTGAGGTGAATGGGGCGTCGTGAGGGGGGGGGGAGGATGAGGGGCCTGCACACCCCTCGCCCAGCAGCATGTGATGGCGAAGGATTCGCTCTCTGTGAGTGCTGCTGTGAATGACGGTGCATCCGTGCCGTGTATGCCTCTTTTCATTATATGCATGCGTGCACCCGTTCACTCATGCCCGTGCCCCAGCACATGTTCTGATGACGGATGTGGTCCCTCTGCCGCGCTTCCCATGCTGTACTGTAATCACCACCACCCATGTTGTATCTCCCTTCTATGCGCATGCAGGGAGTGGTGGCGAAGGATGTGTTGACAGTATTTCACATTTCACACACCATTATCATTTCCCATCCTCTATATCTGTGCGTGCAGGGCGTGGTGGCGAAGGATGTGTTCACTGTGTCGTACCATGGGGGGCCACTGGATGATGAGATGACCACGGTGAGATGAAACGAGCATGCTGAGATGAAACAAGCGCGGTGAGATGAAATCAAGCACAGAGAGATGAAGCTAGCGCAGTGAGATGAAACGAGCATGGTGAGTTAAAAGGAACATGCTGAGATGAAACAACCACCATCGGGTCATTGTGCCCACCAGCATCATCTTCGTTTAGCAAAGCTGTGGGTATGACTTGGAGGTATGCGTTGTTCCTTACACTCCACTCAGGCCACGAAACGTGCAAATGAAGCACCCACCTGCTGCTTAGATGATGCACTCCCTGTTCTCGTCTCCACGTATTCCGTCATTCATGTGCCTCCTCCCCTTCACACCTCCTTCTGTTTCTCCTTTCTCCTGCCTGACTCCTAGGGCTCTCAAGCGCAATCCCTCTCTTCCTGAAGCTCCTCCTTCCATTGTCTCTCTTTTCTCTTCTAATCGGTGCCCCCTCTTTCCCTGTCATCCTGGCTGATAGCCCAAGTCATCCACCTTACTTAATACTTCTGAGAATTGTTATACTTACCTCTCTGTTCTGTCCGATACCTCTCCTCTTCCTCCTCCTCGCCTCCCCCTCAACCAACCCATTGCTCTCATTACCCATTCAATTCTCTTTCTTCTCTTCTCAATCTCTCACTCCCCCCCTCCTCTCCCAACCCCCTCCCAGCTCACACTCAACGCCCTCAACTACACTCTCTCGCGGCCAGACATCGAAGCAGAGGAGAGCTATTAGTGTCCTGAGGTGCCTTATAACGAGGCAGAGAACCAATAGGGACCAGCAGCAGATCCCAGCACATGATAGAGCTGGCCATGTTCTAGCTGGTCTCATTACAGACTGAATGTTCACCAACTTGGCTTTCCGCACTGCTGTACAGTCTCTATTGTGTATCCATTCGTCAATATACCATGCTGTGTTTGCTGTATGCCTTTCCTGCACAGCACACGCATGTGGACTCTGAATATGATTATTCTCAGGTGGTTGCTTTCAAGAGGCGCGAAATATTTTTATTCTCTTGACCGCACAGCTGCCATGGCTGACTGAAACTAAACAACCACACATGCTTACACTCCACACGTTTGTGCCAGTATGCGCAATTGCTCTTCCACACAAGTCATGTTTCAACCTTGATTTGTGAAGAGAAGAAAGAATTGCCACAAAGGATAAAAGCGCACACACATTCCCTTCACAAGTTGACACAAAGAACCCGCAAATGATATTGATGCATCCTACGGTCCACACTGTCTGGCTGCTACAAGCTTGGACGAAGCAGCACTACACTGATAGCCCCCATGCATCAGTGCATGTGCTGCTGCATCCAAGCTCCGGCAATGACAGCAAACATGAAACCCCTAGGCTCTTGCATCTATGCCATTGCAACCCCTGCACCACTTGCAAATCTCTTGCACTTCCCCATATGGTAAAGCCACCTAGTACTGGTACCGGTACCATAACTGAATTGAACGTCTTCTTTGGACCTTGAATACCCCATGCCTGCGTTCGTTCCATGAACCATGCATGCCTCGCATCAAGGAGAATACGAGCCTGGTCCGCCCATACCGCCTCCCATGTTGCCTCCAGGCCCTCCCATCCCTCCGCCCATCCCAGGTCCACCCTGGCCGGGTGCTGCCTGCGACCCTGGAGCAACCTACCCTGACCCGCCCATGCCTCCACCGCCCATGCCTCCGCCGGCCATACCCCCCCCGCGCATGCCTCCCCCAGGACCCATGGATGCTTGTGATCCGGGAGCAGAGGAACCAGGTCCACCCATGCCCCCTCCCATGCCGCCGCAGCCCGTTCCGCCACCACCCATGCCGCCTCCGCCCATACCGCCACCGCCCATTCCTCCGCCGCCCATTCCGCCGCCACCCATGCTGCCTCCGCCCATGCCGCCGCCGCCCATTCTTCCGCCGCCCGTTCCGCCGCCGCCCATTCCGCCGCCACCCATGTTCCCTCCAGGACCCATGGCTGATTGCGATCCGGGAGCAGAGGAACCAGGTCCGCCCATTCCTCCGCCCATTCCTCCGCCGCCCACTCCGCCACCGCCCATACCGCCGCCGCCCATTCCTCCGCCGCCCATTCCGCCTCCGCCAATTCCGCCGCCGCCCATTCCGCCGCCGCCCATGCCACCGCCGCCAGTTCCGCCGCTGCCCATTCCGCCGCCGCCCATGCCGCCGCTGTTGAAGGTGGTTAGCTAACCACGACCCAGCACAACCTGGAGCGACCTACATCGACCTAAGAAAAACCTACAGACTAAGGGAAGGCGAGGACCTAAGAAGAAGATAAGCTACTTATGTTGGGGCGGTGGAAGAAGGAATACGGCAGCGGCGGTGAAGGAAACCGTCTCACTCCTAGTCTGAGAATTGAAAGGAATACTTTGAATCTCTGTAATCGCCTGAGAATTGAAAGAGAAAATTCGTATAATGCAAGGATGGGTACAAGTGACGAGTTGAAGTTAACTCTCTGGAATTTGCTCTCTGGGTTTATAGCTAAAACATGCAAGCACAATTGTAACATCGAACCGCGCGCGACTCGCCGGAAATTCGGACTCAGGATCGCGTCCAATTTCCGCGACGTCCGCGTTCACAATTTCGGACTTTGCCGGGTTCGTTTCTTCACGCCGACAATCGTGTGTTACAAGGAACAATAGCGAGTGTAGCGAAATGTTCGTAACATTCGCTTGCACTCTTGCTATTTTCGTGCATGCTTGTGGGGCTGCCAAGAGTCGCCCCCACAAATATTCGGGCCCAACCGGGGGAAGTTCGGTTGCGTGGCGACGCGGACAATCCGCCGTCACCCCAACCTTCCAAGAACGAACCCTCCCTTGGTCTGAGTCAAGGGAGGTCTTTCGCGTGGGAGGCAATCCAGTCCCCCACACTTCCAACACTCCCCCTTGCACCTCACGCACACCTAAGCATGCAAGCCTACCCTAGCACAACATGCATGAAGAGCATCTCTAGGCAATGGCTTGGTGAGGAAGTCCGCGGGTTGCATGTTGGTCTTGATGTAACGAAGCTCGACTTCGTTGTCTTCAACGAGCTTGCGAATGAAGTGATGGCGGATTTGAATGTGCTTGGTCCTTCCGTGGAGGACCGAGTTCTTGGCTAGGCCAATGGCGGCTTGGTTGTCCACGTAGATGAGAGTAGGGCCTTCTTGTTGGTGCCCAAGCTCGGCAAAAAGGCGCCTTAGCCAAACCGCTTCCGTACCACAACGAGTGAGTGCCACGTATTCCGCTTCGGTGGAGCTAAGTGCAATCAAGTTTTGGCGCTTGCTTTGCCAACTTATTGCACCTCCCACGAGGGTGAAGATATAGCCCGAAGTGCTTTGGCGGGTTGAAGGATCTCCCGCCCAATCCGCATCGGTGTAGCCTTGTAGCACCACGGGTCCCTTCTCGTAGTGCAACCCCATTCGAGAATTGCCCTTGATGTAGCGAAGAATGCGACGTGATGCTCGCACATGCTCGACCATGGGTTTGGAGACGACACGTCCAAGCACTCCAACGGGAAAGGAGAGGTCGGGCCGAGTGCTCACCGCGGCATACATGCACGACCCAACGACCGAGTGAAAGGCCTTGGCGCTCTCGGGATCCATGGGGTTCTCATCGCTCACGGTCAAGGGATGAAACCCCGCTTCCACGGGTGTCGGTGTAGGTTTGCTCTCGATCATGCCGAAACGATCCACAACACTCTCCAAGTACTTGTGTTGGTGGAGGGCGAGGGTCTTGTTCCCTCGATCACGATCGATGTGCATCCCTAGGTAGTGGGAGACGGCGCCGAGGTCACGCATGGAGAATTCGGCGGCAAGCTTCGTCTTCATGTCCGCTACAAGGGTCTTGGAATCCAACATGAATAGAAGGTCATCGACGTAGAGGAGAAGAATGAGCTTCTTCTCATCCTTGTTGAGCACGTAGAGCGCGTGGTCAATCCTCGTGTACCACGCACGAGGGCTTTGCTTGAGGCCGTAGATCGTACGCTTGAGCTTGCACACGCGGTCGGAGTCGTCGTCGAACCCGGGAGGTTGCTTCATGTACACCTCCTCCTTGAGACGACCATAGAGAAACGCCGTCTTCACATCGAGTTGTTCCACCTCCAAGTCGAGTGCTCCCGCCAACGCCAAGAGGGTGCGCAATGTGGCGGACTTGGCGACGGGAGCGAACGTCTCGTTGTAGTGAACACCCTCCTTTTGAGTGTACCCTTGAGCCACCAACCGCGCCTTGTACCGCTCCACTTCTCCATTGGGGCCGAGCTTCTTCTTGAAGACCCAACGAGAGCCAACTAGGTAGGCGCCGTGAGGCATGGGGACAAGCTCGTAGACGTCGTTCGCCATGAGCGAATCGTACTCCTCTTGAAGCGCACGTTCCCATTCCGCCGCTTCCGCCGAGCTCATGGCGCCTTGGTAGGTGGACGGGGTGTCGGTGTATGCCTCAAGACACATAGCATCTCCCCCTCCCTCATCGTCCCCCGCCACAAGAGAATAGCCATCATACTTGGAGTTGGGATGAGGTTTCCTCCGAGTGCGAGTGGATGCGAGGGTGGGAGTGATAGGAGGAGGAGGAGATGAAGGCTCACTTTCCTTGGCATTTCCTTCATCCCCACTCACTCCAACCGCACCCGATCCATTCTCCCCATCATTCGTACAAGGAGGAGAACCCCTAGGAGCTTCATCCGCCTCATCCGCGACATCCAAGGGAGGAGAGATGATGATGACCGAGGGCACGTTCATGGACTTGGACAGGAAGGTGTCTTCATACAACACCACGTCGCGTGACACCACGAGCTTCCCGTGCTCCAAGTCCCACACACGCCATGCCTTGTGATCCGCGCTTGGTCCCAAGTACATCGCCACCCGCGCCTTAGCATCAAGCTTGGTCCGTGTGACATCGGGTACATGATAGTAGCACATACACCCAAACGTGCGAAGGTCGGTGACGTCCGGCTTCGTACCGCTCCAAGCCTCAAGAGGCGTCTTGTTGGGCAACGCCTTGGTCACGCACCGGTTGCGAATCCAAGTTGCCAACGTAACCGCCTCTCCCCACGAATGCTTCTCCACGTGAGCATGGGAGAGGAGACTCCGTGCCGACTCCATGAGCGTACGGTTCAAGCGTTCGGCGGCTCCATTTTGTTGAGGCGTATACGGCGTCGAGAACTCGTGCGCGGTCCCACGCCCTTTCAACCAATTGCCGAGCTCATGAGCGGTATATTCGCCACCTCCCTCCGAGCGAAAGCGCTTGACCTTGAAGCCGCTTTCCTTCTCCACATCCGCCACCCATTGCTTGATGGCGGTTGACGTGGCGTCCTTGTGCTTGAGAAGTCGAATCCAACACATCCGCGTCGCGTCGTCGATGAGCGTGAGGACGTAGTGTGCGCCGCCCTTCGACGCGGGAGTGATGGGTCCGCACAAGTCCGTGTGAACAAGCCAGAGAGGTTCGGAGGAATTCGGCTTCGTACTTGGTGGAAAAGGCTTCCGTGCCATTTTCCCTTCAAGGCAACCGACACACTTCTCGTTGTCTCCACTCGCGCGCACAAAATCCAAGCCGTCGACAATCCCCTTCGTTGCCATAGCTTGAATAGCGGCGAGGTGGAGGTGGCCAAGCCGATTATGCCACGTTGAGAGAGAGGTTGTCGAGGTAGCCGCTTGAGCCGATGCCACGCTAGGGAGAGCGTCGAGCACGAAGAGTCCACCCGCTTGGCGTGCCGTGCCGATGTGTACTCAGTCCGCCGTGCTCAACGCCATCA